TACTACAGTGAAAGCTATCTTCCACAGTGGCTGTGTTTGCCAAATGATTTTCCAGTCTACGTTGATATCGAGGTCCTCTATTTGGGAAGCTTTTCGATGTTCTGGAGTCCATTCCTGCAAACCCCCACACCCCCCATTCACTGGTCCAATAGGTGAGCCAGGAACATTTTCATTTCTGCAAGTTATGGGGAGAGAGAGGAGACAGCCACTTCTTCCTAATCACACCTGTCCCCATTGAGCTCTAATTCCTTGCTCTCTGCTTTGGGACGTGCTTGTCGTTCGCATCTCAGCAAGGCCATCTCGATATTGTGAAATCATACCACTGGACTTTGGACTTCGGCTGTAATAAGCTCTGGCCCTCCCCGGTGCTTTGTGTTCTTGTGTCAATATTGCCCCCGAGCCATCTGTGTCCAATAAGAAAGGGGGTCTGAAACCTGGGTGGGCCCAGACAGGAGCAGTCACAGGATCCTTTGTCCAACTCTGAGAAGGCTACGTCACATTCTGCTGGCCAGAGGAACGTCTCACCCAGCCTACGCATGGGTTTGCAACCCTGACACAGGCACAGACAAATCTTCTGCAATAGAAGCAGAGCCCTGCAATGGGCTTTGGACCATTTAAACTCCCCGAACCTGGCCCTCTAGCTCAGAAAGCAGAGAGAAGCTTTTGCTAAAGTTCAGTCCTTGCAGATGACTTGCCCCAAAGAAACGCAGAGATGTGGCATCTGAGGGTGAAGTGCTCCCTGTTCAACATTGGGTCTTAGACAGCGCTCATCACTGGAGTATCTGAGCGCCTTCCACCCTTGCATTCTGCAATGGGACGAAGAGAGAGGGATGGGATAGATACATAGGGAGCTTGTGGGGTGGGGAGTGAACAGATGCAAGGAACCCGTGGCATGTGCTGTGAGCTCTGCTTGCAGGAGCAACAAAGGTGTGAGACCCTCTTGTATGTGTGTACACACACACACACACACACACACACACACAAACAGCTCTATGCTTGAGAAGGCAAGATCAAAGAAATGCCCCTGATGCTTGGAATGAAGGGTGGGGAGGTTTGGAATGGTCTGTAGTCACTGGGGAGTTTGTTCCAGCCTGGGATCAGGCCCTGAGAAAGTTCTGTGTCCAGCACAGATGGTCTACCTCAATGATAGTAGCAATTAGGACAGCCCCAGGCATGGTCCAGGTCCCCACTGCACTGGGCACGGTATAGTATTTATTAGGTGTATTATGGTAGCACCTAGGAGCCCCAGTCATTGACCAGGATACAGCTGTTCTAAGCACTGAACATTATTTACTGGGTGAATTACGGAAGCATGTAGGCTACCTTCCCATGGACCAGGACCCCTCTGTGTTAGGTACTGGACATTTATTAGGTGTATTACGGTAGCACCTAGGCCACCACATCCCCATGGTTTTAGGCACTGTACAGAGGCAGAACAAGAAGACCCAGAGGGGCAGACTTGCCAACCCTGATCCTTATCCTGAAGCTTGAGATGTTTCTCGATTCCCTGGGACCAAGCCTTGAAGCTAAGGACCAAGCCTGAGAACCAGATTCAATATTCTCAGGGTATGGAAACTAAGCCGGATTCAGGTGGGCATGAATTTAAGGTGCAGTATTCCACTTTCAATGTGGGTGACACCCAACAGGAACAAGACCCTCCTTTTCTGGAATTGGCACATCCGCACATGGCATCAGTCAGGAGTTGCTCCAAAGGGAAGCCGGTGGAGGGAGTGGACAGGTCTGATGCACACCCAATATCCCGCACTGCAGCATTCTGTACCAGCTGTTCCTAAGCACCAAAGCTTTGGGCAGTAAAGCCAACAGGGACTGTCCCTCATGGGCTTCCCCCTGCTGACTGCAGCATCTTCCCCAGTCAGGGCATTTATAGGACCGCTGCCCTGGGTGCGGTCCTTGCAGCCAGCACCGAGCTCTGATTGCAATGGGATCCCTGCTGAGATTTCCCCCCTTTGTGGCTACCCCAAAGCACCATAAGCTGGAGCTAGGAGCCCTCGCCAGCCTGGGGCTTCCCCCTTGGATTGATCCTCTGGCAGTTAATAAACTCTCCATTCAAGCTGGCTTCATCCCTACTGTGGCAGGGTTGTCCTCTGCAGTGCCCCACCATCCCCCCATTGGGACACTGATAAATACCCTAAGCAGTAGCACCAAGGGTCTGCCGTCCTTCCCAGGCATTGCTTCCAGCCCCGCTCTCTCACACAGAGTGCTGACCCTCCAGATTGTCTCCCTGGAGGCCTGGCTCCTACCCAAGCCTGGAGGCTCTTCCCTAGGCTAGATCCTTATTCCCAGCCTGCCTCCAGGCTATCTGCCTCTCCAGGGCTTGCCCCTGGAGTCTCCTTCTCTCCTGCCACCCTCTCCCTAACTCAGCTCCCCCAGGGTTGGGTGTGCAGGAGACACAGATGTTTTTCCAGCAGGGGGAGCTCTCCTTGGGGCAGGGGGCCTTGGGGGACCCCACGACTGGGAATACAGCTGGTGGAGGTGTATCCCCAGCAGGGCTGCTCTCCCCTTTATAGAGATCCCCCATCTCCTCCCCAGCTGGAGCTGATCATTGACTTGAACTGGTTGATCAGGAGCAGCTGACCAGGGCTGAGCCCAACTCCCCTTAAAGGGCGAGCCTTTCAGCCTGTGACACCACTGTGAGCACACTGGTGGGTCTTCTGCTGTCTGCTCAGGACAGCAGGCTGGGTGAACCCTCTCTCATGCTGGGGACATGTGTAGGGTCTCTCCGACAGGATCCCAACAAGAGCAGTCAGGGCCAGGGCTCAGAGCAGGGGCAAACCTGAGGCTAGGAGTAGCCGAGGAGTCCGTAGTCAGGTCCGGACCAGGGTCAATATGGAGGGTCAGGGTTCAAGTTGGGTTTCAGGATCTGAGTCAGGAGGCAAAGTCCAAATCAAGCCACGAGCTGAAGAGCATGGGCCAGGGGCACTCATGGCTGCTACAGACGACACACACTACTGCCTGGACAGAGACCAAAATGCCCCTTGGGTTTCTATAGGGCAGGGAGCCAATCAGGAGCCTTGGGGCTGCTGCCTGTCAAACCCTTGAGGTAGAACAGCCCATGGTCTGTGTCCACAGCGGGTCACGGAGAAGTGGAGCAGAGGCTGGTTATAGCTACTACTGGATGTCAGCCTGGAGCTATCAGCTGCCTGGTAATACTACTGGCCTGGCTCTAGACTCAGGGAGTCTTACGTTTACTGCTCCCCCACCCCCACCCCACAAGGGGAGCCTCCTGCTGGACTCGGTTTGGCAGGGTTGTGGGATTTTGTGCCAAAACCACAACACAAACTGTGGACCCCAAATCATGGAAGGCTGCCATGAAGTTGGGCGTGTGATCTCGGGATGCAGGAACCCAGGATTGCTCTTCCAGGCCAGAACCCTCCCAGCCTATAAGGAGCCGTGTCTGATTTTTGAGTCCTAGTATCTCGTGCACCTTGTACTCATTCTGTCCTCGGATCCGTACTGGAGGGGGCGGTGGTTGAGCCTGTTGAGTCCAAATCAAGCTGAGGTCAAGCCAGGAGTTCCAGAGCGTAGAACAGGAACAGTCGTAGCAGCTACCGAAGAGCCATGCTGCTGCCTGGACATTTCCTGGACCACTTCTTGGGTTTTTATGGGACAGGGAGCCAATCAGGAGCCATGGGGCTGCTGCCTGTCAAACCCATGAGGTGGAACGTCCCATGGTCTATGTCCATAATAGAACCTCATAACGTGGGGTACAGACATTTCAGTGAGATCAATGCCTGTAGCAACTTACACAAGCATTTCATAAAGTCTAAATCCTGAACACTATACACATTTTTCAAACAGATGTGTTTTAACACGGCCAAATGCAAAGCTGTACATCGGGTGCAAAGAGACCAAAAGAGAATATCTTTCCCATTTACTCGATGGGGGTCTGTACCCTGGAAAGCAGTGACTCTGAAAAGCTCATAGGGGGTGTGGTTAGGGCTCTGGGCATGTCATGGCATTAAAACTGTCATGGATGCCCTGATTTTCATTTCTGCCTGAGACATTTTTGTGAGAGACTGTCCAACATGATGCAGAGGGGAGGCCCAGGGGGAAGAGCTGGAGAGGGTGTTTCCTAAACACCGATGGTTTGATTGTGGGTGGGGTTTCATTTGAGATGAGAGTCACCGTGATGCAGCGGAGCTCTCCACATCTTCACGGTGACCGTGATTCTTTTCTGCGGGTTCCCCTTTCCCTCTGTCCCCGGAGAATGGATCCGAGGTGGGGACTAGATTTTGGAACAAACACAGCTGTCCACAGCATCCTGGGAACTGCCCAATGTAGGGAGGTCAAAGTGCCCCAGACTGGCTGAGCACCACTGTGATGTTCTGTACCTTGGGGGAACACCCTGCTCCCCCATGTTCATCTCTATAAAATGATTGTGTGGTATCCAGTGCAAAGTTTGTCATATTGGAAGGCTCATAAGGCACTGAACATGGTTGTTATAGTGATGTTATAGTAATTGTTACAGTCATGTTATAGTGAAGTTATAGGTTATAATTTCATGTACTGTATGTAGTTATGAGGCTGAAAATGTATCCTCATGGCTTAAAGCAAGCCCATGCAAAAACTCTCCAAGAACAGAGGGGCAGTTCACACCCCGTCAGGGCATGGATGGGACAAACCCAGCCCAAACTCACAGGAACAATGGACACTGGCTTAGGCAGCAACAAAAGAATCTGTTAGACCCTCGTGGGAGTCACCCCCTTCCTTTGGGCAGTTTGGGACTGCGGTGAGGTAATGCTCACCTGACTCTGAACGGGCGGGGGGAGAGGGGGGGCAGGCAAAGCAAAGAAGAGAGAAAGGACATGATAAAAGGGAGAGACATTTTGCCATGCTCTCTCTCTTCCACCTCCATCTACAGACACCACCACCACCAAGTGACTGAAGCGCTGATCAAAGAGGAGAACCTGGATAAAGAGCAACCAGCCAGCCTATGGTGAGAAGCATCTATGTTTGTAAGGACATTGAAAGTGTTAAGATCAGCTTAGAATGTGTTTTGCTTTTATTTCATTTAAACAAATCTGACTTGTTATGCTTTGACTTATAATCACTTAAATCTACCTTTATAGTTAATAAATCTGTTTGTTTATTCTACCTGAAGCAGTGCATTTGGTTTGCAGTGTGTCAGAGACTCCCCTTAGGATAAGAAGCCTGGTACATAGCAATTTCTTTGTTATATTGACAAACTTATATAAGCTTGCAGCAGCCAGCAGGCATAACTGGACACTGCAAGATGGAGGTTCCCAGGGTTGTGTCTGGGACCGGAGATATTGGCTAGTGTCATTCGCTTGCAAGTAGCGGGGAGCAGCTTACATGCCAGAGGCTGTGCGTGGATAGCCCAGGAGTGGGGGTTCTCACAGCAGAGCAGGGGAAGGCTGGCTCCCAGAGCCAAGGACTGGAGAGGCCTATCAGATCACCGGTCCAGATAACACCAGAGGGGAATGTCACAACCACCCCAGAGGGAATGACTCCAACTTGTCTGGGGACTAAGGTGTGGCCCTGAGTCAAGAGATTTGGGTTTGACTCCTGGCTCTATCCCAGACCCTTTGTTCTCTCTGTGCCAGCTCAGTGCCCTGGCGGAAAGGAAGGGCTGCTGTGGATCTCAACAGCAGGAGGAGATCCCATCCCTTCCTCATGCCAAAGCCCCAGCCCCAGGCTCACAAGTTGAAGGGGAATCCTTATTGTAAGTGCTGTAGAGGGTCTATGACACACATAGTTGAATAGATCTCAATCCACCTCTGCCTGCAAAGTCAGTGTCCCACTCCCCATGTGGGACACTCCCTGGGAAGATCCAGGGTTGTGAGGCACCTGCCCTTAGTGTAAGGGGACTGTTGCCCCCTTACTAACATTCAGTGGGGGTGTTTTGGTTGGCTAGCTCCCAGTACTAAAAAGGGGGAAGGGTCGATGGGGAATCAGGACCATGAGACTGACAGCCCCCAGGAACAATGGGGAGAAGCCAATGCTCCAGGTCAGCCTGAATGACGGGGTGGGCAGGCTAATCAGAGAGTCAGGAGGCCAGGGAGGTCCCGTCCTCCATGTGAGCTGGATTTGCCTGGGTCAGACAGAGTGGGGCCGAGCTAAGGAGAAAGCAGGGGCCCAAGCTAAGCTGGGGAGCAGAGCTGTGCCAGATCCAGAGGGACCAGAAAAGCAGCCCAGAGAGAGCAGACCCTGTCCTGGGAGCAGAGCTGCAGCCCCGAAGCCAGAGGCACAGCCCAGAGAGAGCAGACCTGCCCTGGGAGCAGAACTGCAGCAACCAGAGCCAGAGGGGCCAGAAAAGCAGCCCAGGGAGCTGGAGGCAGAGCAGCAACAGCAGCAGCAGTGCAGAGACCGAGTGGTGGAGCTGGGGCTGGAGCTGTCCGGAGCTGGGCGCGGTGAGCAGCTGGGGAGAGCGAGGGGGACCCTGGGCAGCGGGCCCAGCACAGGGAGACGCCTCAGCCAAGAGGCTCCGCAGGCCAGGCTTGGATCGTAACCCCGACAGGGTGGGGTGACACTGGGAAGAAGGGTCCTACCTCTTAGAGCCTGAGAGCGTGTGGCCACCACCAGAGCAAGTGTCCAACCCACAGCATCCCTGCAGCAAAGCCAGGGCCTGAGAAGGCCTGGGACTTACAAGGAACAGACTGTCAACTGCCCTGACGTTCCAGAGACACGGTTTGTGATGTTCCCTGCCACAGAGCGGGGTGATGTGTTTCCTTTAACCTTTCCCATTTTTCCTCATTCTTTTTAAAAATAATTGTTGATTAAATAACTTGCATTTGCTTTAACTTGTATGTAGTGGTCAGTGGGTCAGAGAAGTGCCCAGTGCAGAGAGAGTACCCCGGAGTGGGGACGCCCCCGCCCCTGTCCTAGGTGACCGCAGCAGGGTTGGGGGTCGAGCCCCCCAGGAATCCTGGGCCCAGCCTTGTTGGGGTTACGAGGACTCTGCCAGGCAGGAGAGTGGAAGGGGAGTCCTCAAGGGCAGGGAGGCCACTGGGTAAAGGAAGTGGGAGCGAGGACTCAGATCCTTTCGCTAGCCCACTTCACCAGGGCAGTGCAGAAGCCAGGAAAGTTCCCCACAACAGTGGGACTGTTCCCCCGCTTACATTAGTGTGAAGCAGCCGTGGCTCTGCCAGCTGGGGGCCAGCTCCCCGACTCCCATCTACAGGCACCACACGACCTCCCCTCTCCGCCCACGCAGGCTCTGCTGTCTCTCTGCAGCTTAGAGAGGAACAGTCCTCTGAGCACCCCCTGGCAGTGCCCAGACCTGGTCCCCTGGACACTAACAGCATTACCAGGTCCAGGGGTCCTGGAAGAGGGGGGACTAGAGGGCCTTGGCCCCATCACTTTTTACCAGCCATAAAGGCAAGTGGTGGGGGGGCGGAGAGGAGTGAGCGGGGGCGGGGTCTTTGTGAGAAGAGGTGGCAGAGGAGCGGGGCCTCAGGGAAAGAGGCAGTCCAGAGGCGGGGTCTGAGGGGGAATGGGTGGTGCGAGGGCAGGGGCTTGGGGAGGAGGGTAGCTTCGGGGGAAGGAGTGGCACAAAGGTGGGGGCTTGGGGGAAAGAGCGGTGCAGGGGCAGGGCCTCAGGGGAACAGGCCGCGTGGGGAGTGGGCTAACGGTTCAAGCAACGGTGCCCCCCCAAACTTTTAGGGAGCTTCCATCACCCCTGACGAAGCCTGCTGTTCCCACAGCAACAGTACACCCCAGCGCACCGGTTACACCCTGTGCACAGCTCCACACGACACACAGCACCTAGAGTCATTTCTAGAGGCAGCTGCTCTTAGTGTAACGAAGGGCAGAGAGTCACAGGCAGCAAACAGGACTACAGGACACAATGGGTGACAGGTGCCCTAAAATCCTAACCTGGTCCAGAGCTTCAGCGCACTAACAAGATCCCCTCTTGGCTAACAAGGTACTGCTGCCCCCAAAGCCCTCCGCCAGCATGGCTGAGACCCTCCTTCCATGAGATCTTCCCCATACTTCTGGGAGTGCCCCAGCCGGGAGCTCTGAGCTGTGAGTCCCAGCTGGGATGGGAAGGGACAGGACTTCCTCTTCACCTGTACGGCTGCTGGGGGCAGAGAGGGAGATCACACCCATCTCTGGGTACCTTTTGGGTTGGGACTGCCACGGTTACAGCACTGTGAAAGGTCAGATGTAAATATCTGAAAACGTGAAACTGCCCAATTTTAAAACCCTCTGGCCACAAAATTGATGAAAATGGACTGTGGATTTGGTAGGGCCCTAGCAATAAGTGTCTTCCACCTCCCGGCTGGAGAAGTGTGTCTCAAGGGATGCTGCCTCCGAGAGACCTGCCTTTAAATGACAAGACCTAGAGAACATAATACCATGTCCCCAAGGAGGGACTATATTCCACCACCCCACTCCTGGCCCACATCCCACTGGTGGGGGAGCCTATGTTGGATACATCTGATCTGATCTCTCCTAACTCTGCTGCACCACAGGGCGAAGGAGGGGGTCTGTGCAACTGAGCCCAGCAGGGTTCTTCTCTCCCCTGCCCTCTCCTCTCCTCCCCTCCCCAGACAGCTCCCAGGCAGCACAGGGAAGTCCCTGCAGTTGATTTTCCCTGGTGGTTGCAGCAGGACTATTGGTCCTTTACTGTTTCAATCTTGGGGCAGGGCGCCCTCTGCTGGGAGATTAGAGGAATGTAAACGATCAAGGAGGTTGTGGGCTTCTGTTTCTGCCGATTCCCATCTTGCAGGCAATACTGGGACAGTATTTCAGAAGAGAACGTTTACGGGGGACCCTCAGCAGCCATCCTGGCCAGACGGAGCTCTCCTGATACAAGAGGAGGTGGAGGGTTGAGCTAGACAGCTCCAGAACTTGTCCCCTTTTGCAGGGTTAAAAATGGACAAGTGGCTTCATATTGTTCTGTGAGCCATCCAGGCTGCTGCCTCCTGACACCCCTCACCCCCAAAGGGTCTCCAGGAACATTTCCCCATCTTGCCCCCAGCAGAGAACGGGGCCAGGGGCTAAAATCAGGGAGTGTTCTCTGTACAGAGCCTTCCGAAAATCATTCAACATCAGGCTTTTGTTAAAAGCAAAGGAAAAGATTCCCAAAAATGGCCAGAGAAGGGGGAAGAGAGGGTGGCTCAGGGGTAATGCCACATGTCCTGAACATCTGAAGGGTCTGGGGGAGAGGAAGAGATATTATTACAAGTTCAGAACATCTGGAGAGGGCTGAGGAATGATGTCACCTGCAGAACATCTGGAGCGGCTGGAGAGTGTTGCATGGGCTGAACATCTGGAGGGTTCCTGCTCATCACACATAGCGTCTGGACTCTTATCAGACCATGGGTCATGGCTCGGGGGTGGAACCTGTGCCAATTCATCACTGTATAAACAGGAAAACCTCAAGTAGGAGTAGAGCGGTTATTTTACCCCTATATTTGGCACCGCTGCGACCTCTGCTGGTATCCTGTGTCTAATTCTGGTCGCCAAAATTCAAGAAGGATGTTGATCAATTGCAGAGCGAACAGAAAAAAGACACAAGAACGATTGAAATGATACTCAAGGAGCTCAATCTATTCAGTTTAACAAAGAGAAGGTTGAGGGGTGACTTGATCTGCTATAATGGGCTCCTCAATCTAGCAGACAAAGGTTTAACATGATCCAATGGCTGGAAGCTGAATCTTGACAAATTCAGACTGGAAATAAGACATACATTTTTAACAAGGAGATGTGAGTAATTACCCGGTAGACCAACTTAACAAGGGTCATACTGGATTCTTTATCACTGACCGTTTTAAAATCAGAATTGGACGCTTTTCTAAAAGCTCTGCTCTAGGAATTATTTCAAGGAAGTTCTCAGGCCTGTGTTACACAGGAGGTCAGGCTGGATGATCACAATGATCTCTTCTGGCCTTGGAGTCTAGGGATCTATGAACAAAACCACGGCTCTGCAGTACGGCTCCAGCACCCTTCTAGCTGGGGTGCTTCTCCACCTTGTTTCATTCCCAGGTCTGGTTCCAGCTGGAGATATCAGTGGGCTCAACCCTCCATCCTTCCCCAGAGTTCAGCCCTCTCTGCCCCTCTGGCTTCAGCTGTCCTGAGCCTCCTGCTGCTGCTCTCAGCCTTCAGCCCTCTCTGGCCACGGATCTCTGGCCTGGGGGAGTTTGTAGGTGACTCCCCTGAAGGCCCTCTGCTTTCTCCAGCCTGATTTGGCTCGCCTGCTCACCAGGGACCTCTCACTTCTCCCTCCTTCCAGACATCCCCTCCCTGAGGCTCCCAGCCCAGCCGTGCTCTGCTCCGCTCTGCTCTGCTCCTGAGCTCTGCATTCATGACTCTACCTCCCTCTCTGGATTGTCGCTTGCTTTTGGGCTCTCATTTTTATAGCTCCTAGCCCAGCTCCACCCTTCTCATTACACCAAAGGACGGTGCACCTGGACTGGAACAGGACTTCAGCTACCTTGCTACACAGCCCATCTATGATGGACTATTGGGGACTGAGGGTTCCATGGCACTTGGCTGGAATGCTGGGATCTGAAGATTCCATGTCAGTTGGGTGAAATGTTGGGGTCTGGAGGTTCTGTGGCAGTCGGGGGAGGGGGATATTGGGATCTGGAGGTTCTGTGGCAGTTGGGTGGGGGTGCTGGGATCTGGAGGTTCTGTGGCAGTCGGGGGAGGGGGATATTGGGATCTGGAGGTTCTGTGGCAGTCGGGGGGGGGTGCTGGGGTCTGGAGGTTCTGTGGCAGCCGGGGGGGGGGGGGGAGTGTTGGGATCTGGAGGTTCTGTGGCAGTTGGGTGGAATGTTGGGCTCTGGAGGTTCCATGGCAGTTGGGCATGTTGTGGTTTGGTGTCTCTGGGGCCTGAGGTGGACAGGGGGTCACAGGCGTGAAGTAAATACCTCAGTCACAAACCCTGGGGGGAGCTGAGGAGGCAGAAATGTCTCAGGGATTCATGGCCCCTGCTGTCACTGAGCCCACCATTTTGTGGGGACAGTGGTCAAGCGCACACCTGTCTGTTCCTATCTGGGCTGAGACCCAACTCGTTTCACACTAGGCCTAATGAACACAGCAAACGAGATTCACACACTAAGGTCCTGACCTGTATCCCATTCCCTGCCCCCCGAGCGAGCCAGTCCCCTGGCCTGGGGCTGGATCAGAGCCAGTGCCCCCTAGAGGGGAAGGTCCATATCCCATTCCCCTCAACCCCCTCACCCTCCAAGCCACCCACTCCCCTGCCCTGAGGCTGCTCAGAGCCCGTAGAGGGGAAAGGCTGCACATCCCATTCCCAGACCTGAGAACAGAGGGGATAGTCCCTGTCTGTATAATCCTGGGGAGACCCCTTCTGGGTTTATCTTTGGGCCCAGCAATCCTGGAGAGATACAGACAGATTGCAGGGAGCCTAGGGCAGAGCAACAGACGTGATCAGAGGCTGCAGGGACCAGTTTACAAGGGGAGATGAAAGGAGCCAGCTCAGCAGGGGCTGAGTAGGGCATGTAAAAAAAAAAAAAAAAAAAGAGGGTGGTGCTGGGATCCAAGGGTTTGAATCCCAGTCTGGGGCCCTTTGCCGATCTTGCTTCAAGAACAATGGAAATTCTCAGCTCCCTGGTCAAGAAGTTTCACATGACACTGGATCATAACTAGATTTCTCTCCTTTTGCCTCTCCTTAAATCTGTAATCCCTGGTTCTTTATTGCCCATTGGTAAAATTACACCACATCAGAACAATTCCCTGAAAGGGTGGGGTGGACTTTCCAAGCCAGACTGGACTGGCTGGCTTCTCTCAAAGATACCGTGGTCAAGATTTTCAAAGGGGATTAATGATTTGGGAAAGAAACCAAGGCACTAGTAAAACCTCATCTGGAATACTGTGTCCAATTCTGGTCACATGGTCCAGAAAGATTAATTCAAACTGGAACAGGTTTAGAGAAGGCAGCTAGGATGATCAGAGGTGTAGTAGGAAGAGAGTCTGAGATATAGGCCCTTGTATTAGAGCTGCATCCATTGTCACGGGTATACGTGTCTTACTATCCTCATAGAGTCTGCCAGGTGCTATTACCGTGCTTTGTCAACAATAAACCTGGCCTGGTGCCTTCGTACCTTAATGGATCTTTGGTCATTGGGCAGTTCGCTCGAGGTCTGCTGTGCCAGCTGTCTGCGCAGAGCTGGGGCAGTACACAGGGAGAACACACACGCAGCCAAACATCTAGTAAGAGGAATGGAGTACCTAGTTTACAAGAGGAGACGGAAAGAGCTTCACTTAGTTAGCCGAAAACTAGGCTTTTCAGAATTAGTTTGGGGTTTTTTAAAATAATTTTGCTGGATAATATCAATAATTAATCATGATTTAAAAAATTAATCGTAGTTTTAATCGCACTGTTAAGCGACAGAATACCACTTGAAATTTATTAAAAATGTTTCAGAGGACAAGCCGTGTTAGTCTGTATTCGCAAAAAGAAAAGGAGTACTTGTGGCACCTTAGAGACTAACCAAAATTGGTTAGTCTCTAAGGTGCCACAAGTACTCCTTTTCCTTTTATTAAAAATGTTGGAAGTTTTTCTACATTTTCATATATATTGATTTCAATTACAACACAGAATACAAAGTGTACACTGCTCACTTTATATTATTTATTACAAATATTTGCACTGTAAAAATGATAAACAAAAGAAATAGTATTTTTCAATTCACCTCATACAAGTACTGTCGTACAATCTCTTTCTCATGAAAGCTTACAAAGGTAGTTTTTTTATTACATAACTCCACCCAAAAACAAAACAATGTAAACTTTAAAGCCTACAGGTCCACTCAGTCCTACTTCTTGTTCAGCCAATCGCTAAGAGAAACAAGGTTGTTTACATTTACAGGAGATAATGCTGCCAGCTTCTTATTTACAATGTCACCTGAAAGTGAGAACAGACATTTGCATGGCACATTTGTAGCCAGCATTACAAGGTATTTATGTGCCAGATATGCTAAACATCTATATGCCCCTTCGTGCTTTGGCCACCGTTCCGGAGGACATGCTTCCATGCTGAGGACGCTTGTTAAAAAAATAATGCATGAATTAAATTTGTGACTGAACTCCTTGGGGGAGAATTGTATGTCTCCTGCTCTGTGTTTTACTCGCATTCTGCCATATATTTCATGTTATAGCAGTCTTGGATGATGACCCAGCACTTTAAGAACACTTTCACTGCAGATTTGACAAAACACAAAGAAGGTACCAATGGGAGATTTCTAAAGAAAACTACAGCACTCGATCCAAGATTTAAGAATCTGAAGTGCCTTCCAAAATCTGATTGGGACAGGGTGTGGCGCATTCTTTCAGAAGTCTTAAAAGAGCAACACTCCCATAAGGAAACTATAGAACCCGAACCAACAAAAAAGAAAATCAATCTTCTGTTGGTGGCATCTGCCTCAGATGATGAAAATGAACATGCAGTACTCTGCATTGCTTTGGATCATTACCAAGCAAAACCCGTCATCAGCATGGACACATTTCCTCTGGAATGGTGATTGAAGCATGAAGAGACATATGAATCTTTAGTGCATCTGGCACGTCAATATCTTGCAATACCGGCTACAACAGTGCCTGTTCTCACTTTCAGGTGACACTGTAAACAAGAAGCAGGCAGCATTATCTCCTACAAATGTAAACGAACGTGTTTGTATAAGCGATTGGCTGAACAAGAAGTAGGACTGAGTGGATTTGTAGGCTCTAAAGTTTTACATTGTTTTGTTTTTGCAGGTTTTTTTGTACATAATTCTACATTTTTAAGCTCAAATTTCATGATAAAGAGATTGCACTACAGTACTTGTATTAAGCGAATTGAAAAATACTATTTCTTTTAGTTTTACAGTGCAAATATTTGTAATAAAAAATAAATATAAAGTGAGCACTGTACACTTTGTATTCTGTGTTGTAATTGAAATCAATATATTTGAAAATGTGGAAAACATCCACAAATATTTATATAAATAGGATTCTATTATTGTTTAACAGCACGATAAATTTTTTTAATCGTGCAATTAATCACAATTAATTTATTTAATCGCTTGACAGCCCTATTTTTAAGCATTATTTGAGATTATCTATTTAAATTTTCACAGTTGTATGGAAAATATTGGGGGGTGTCAGACAATTATTTAATGACAAAAGCCACTGAGATTCAAAAAGTTAAAAGTTTTATACACCATTCAAACACAAATCGTTAACATCACATCACAATATACAAAGTAAATATCCTTAAATCAACAGATCATACCTGGTTTTACTGTTCATTCGTCGGTCCATTTGTAAAAAGCCCAATTCAATAATCTAAATCACTGGATTTTGACTCTAATAAGTTCTCAAGCAGCATTTTTCGTACTTTGCCTATTTGTAAATTTCAATTAATATTGATAGAAATATTCTGTTGATGGTTTGTGTGTGTGGTGAAACTGACATTTACCAATAAACATCTAATCCTTCCAAGCCTACCTAAAATGCAGGCTGAGAGGGGATCTGACTGCTCTCTCTAAATATACCATGCGGAAAACACCAGGGAGGGAGAAGAGCTATTGAAGCTAAAGGACAACGTTGGCACAAGAACAGATGGGGACACACTGGCCAGGAATCAACATAGGCTGGAAATGAGAAGGTTCCTGACCATCAGAGGAGGGAGGTTGTGGAACAGCCTCCCACTAGGAGCAAACACCCTAACTGGTTTGAAGATGGATCTGGGTAAGTCTCCGAGTAGGATTCCATTATGGCATGCAACAGCACAGAGTTGACTCAGTGACCCAGGAAGGCCCTTCCAGTTCTAAGTTTCTTGGAAACATATTAAAGGGGCTGGTTTTCAGAGGGCGGGCACTCAGCACCTTTTGAAAACCAGCCCCCTATAAAAGGGGTCTCAAGGTGATCAACCAAAAAGAAGTTCCAAAAAAATATTTTTTTTTTAAATGACTAGTGGCTTTTGAAAAATCTTGGCCTCATTCAAGTGGAACCATGGGCCTCTTGGCTGGATGCAGGAAACACTGGGTGAGGTTTTTCTGGTCTGTGTTATACAGGAAGTCAGACTAGAATGATCTAATGGCCTCTTCTGGCCTTGAAATCTATGGTTCTACACAGGGCAACTCAAGAGCCATAGATTCATTTGGGGCATCTAATTTCTGGCCTCACCGTGGGAAAAGTTGTCCATTACAGAGTCCTAGATCCCAAGGCCAGAAGGGACCATTGTGATCATCTACTCTGACCACCTGTGTCTCATAGGCCAGAGAACATCCCTGAATTAATCCCTGTTTGAACTGGATCAGATTTTTTAGAAAAACATCCAATCATGATTTTAAATGTGCTGGTGATAGAGAATCCACCATGACACTTGGCAAATTGTTCCAATGGCTAATTACCCTCAGTGTTGAAAAATTGTGCCTTGTTTCTAATCGGAATTTGTCTAGCTTCAACTTCCAGCCATTGGATCGAGTCAAACCTTTTGCTGCTCGACTGAAGAGTGATTTGTTCCCCATGGAGATACTTCTCAACTGTAACCAAGTCACCTCTTAACGAGCTCCTTGTTAAGCTAAATAGAGTCAAGGAGCTTAATCTATCGTTATAAGGCAGGTTTTCCAATCCTTTCATCATTCTAGTGACCCCTCATAATCCTTCTTCTCTGACCCCTCTCCAATTTATCAATATCCCTCTTGAACTGTGGGCACCAGAATCAGTACCACTATTCCAGCAGCAGTCGCACCAGGGCCAAGACAGAGCCCCTTTGCAGATCCTGCTACGCAGGATCTTACTGCACCTCCTGCTACGCAGGATCTTACTGCACCTCCTGGGGAGACTTCTCTGCCACGTGGGTCCTGGCATGTTTGCTGAGCTTTGAGCTGTCGATGAAACTCCTCCCGCACTGGGTGCATTTATAGGGTCTCTCTCCTGTGTGGGTGCGCAGGTGTTTGACCAGGGTGGACTTCAGATTGAAGCACTTCCCACACTCGGGGCATTTGTAGGGCCGCTCCCCACGATGGATCCTCTGGTGCTGGATGAGGTTGGCACTCAGGTTGAAGCTCTTCCCGCACTCCATGCACTCGTAGGGCCTCTCCCCGGTGTGGATGCGCAGGTGCTTCCCCAGCGACGAGTTGAGGCCAAAGCTCTTCCCGCACTCGGGACACTTGTAGGGGCGCTCGCCCCGGTGGATCCGCCTGTGCTGGATGAGGGTGGAGCTCTGGGTGAAGCACTTCCCACACTCGGTGCATTTGTAAGGCTTCTCCCCCGTGTGGGTGCGCTGGTGCTTCACCAGGTTGGAGCTCTGGCTGAAGCCTTTCCCGCAGTCCGAGCATTTGTAGGGCCGCTCGCCCGTGTGGGTGCGCTGGTGCTGGGCCAGGTTGGAGCTGCTGCTGAAGTCCTTCCCACAATCGGAGCAGGTGTACAGCTTCCCCGGCAGGTGGGATCGCAGGTGCTGAGGGAGGGAGCTGAGGCTGAAGCTCTTCCCGCACTCAGGGCAGATGTAGGGCTGCGAGCCCATGTGGGTGCGGACGTGCTTGGCCAGCGTGTGGCTGCGGTTGAAGCTCTTCCCGCATTCAACGCATGGGTAGGGCCTCTCCCCGGTGTGGATGCGCTGGTGCTGGGCGAGGTGGGAGCTCTGACTAAAGCTCTTCCCACAGTCGGGGCAGTTGTAGGGTCGCTCCCCCGTGTGGATCCGTTGATGTTGGACAAGGTGGGAGCTCTGGCTGAAGGATTTCCCACAGACAAGGCATTTATAGGGTCTCTCTCCCATGTAGGTGGTTTCCAGAATAATGATGTTTTCAGGGATCCCATAAGCTTCACACTCATCAGGTCTCTCCTCTAGGGGGTCTCCCTGATGCCATCCTGGCCTGCCAGCATCTCTCCGCTCGGGGCTCTGGGGCATCCCGTGTGGGTTCGCTCCCACACACCCTTCCTGCTGCAGATTCTCCTCCGCTCCTGCACCTGCTGGGAAATAGAGAGTATCCAGACGAGGCTCTTCCCCAGCAGAACCGGACCCTCCTCAAAGCCCTCAGAGAAAGGGTGGGGAAGGGGAGGGCTCCTACCAGAGATGGGAGCTGGGAGTGAGACATGGAGGACAGGGACCTGCGGGAGAGGATACTGAGCAAGACCAGACAGAACCCGGAGGGCTCCAGGCGGCTTTGCGGGGATCCCTTCACTCCCCTGAATTGCCAAACTAACCTATGTAATTTGATGACAGTTTTACTACTTCCAGGCTCCCCCAGCTTTGTGGATCACTGATGCCAGCCCTACGGGTTTGGGGTGCAGTTCTCTGGTGTGGGTTTGGCAGGACGTCAGAGTAGCCGACCAGAACGGTCCCTTCTGGCCTTCCCCATCTATGGCTCTAGCATGGCACCCCGGGGTCCTGGCTACTAATTCGTGGAGGGTCCCCAAGCCAGCCTCACTCCTTTTTCACCTGTGCAAGTGACAGCCAGGGTCTCCCTTTCCTCGGCGCCCTGGAGATCCCGGACACATGGCTGATCCCCACGCTTCATCCCGGAGATCCCGGGGTCAGGGACCAGGAATCCTGCCTGCAGGGGAGAAAACAGGGGGAGTCCTGCTTTGATATATTACCATTAAACCCTTCAAAGAGCCACCCCAAAACTCCCACCCCGGGGCTACCCCGGAGCTGGCGGGCCCCTGCAGGGCTCCGCTTTACACACACACACACCCGGGCTGCCCCGGAGCTGGGGCCGTGGTCCCTCCGGTCCCAACTGCGGATCGGGCTCGGATCCCCTCGTCGCTGCAGCCACTTCTCCGGGCAGCGATTCCTGCCCCTGCGGCAGCCTCTCTCCCTGCCCCGAGAGCTTCCTCCGGCTGCGCTTCTCTGCGCCCCCCGGGCCCCGCTCCCGATCGCCTGCGGACCCCGGGGCACACACGGAGCCGGGCTCGGGAGTCGGGGCCGCGGGGACAGGAAGGTCCCTGCGCTATTTGCAGCCCCGCTTATGGCCCCGCCTGGGAAGGGGAGGGCTTAAGAAATTGGTGGTTTTAACCCTTAAGGCTCCTTCAGTGCCTGGGCCAGCATCGTCCCTCTGGCTTCCCCGCGCCTCCGCAGCGTCCGCCAGGCAAACCCGGGCTGGGGGGGTCTTCACGTGCACACACACTGGCTGCCTGCACACAGTCCACACGCCACAGCCGCGGGCCCCAGACACACATTGCACAACACAGTGCGCGGGTGCGCGCACACACACACTGGCTGCGCCTCTGGGATTAATTTGGGGAAGTTCTCGGGCCTCTATTACAAGGGCGCTCAGACTAGATGATCACAATGGTCCCCCCTGGTCTTGCAATCTGTCAATTTCTCTCTGTCACACACACACTGGCTGCCTGCACACAGTCCACACGCTACAGCCGTAGGTTCCAGACACAAGTTGCACAACACAGCGCACACACATACACCCATTGACTGCACCAACATTGCACACATGGACCCTGAATGCGCACACCCTGATTTCAGAAACATGCTGGCTACACCTATGCACACCCCTGCTGTATGCACACACACATACTGACTGCACTCTTGTACAACACTCATAGACTCTGCCTATTCACACACACACAAAGCCTTCCTCCTCCATCAGATACATGCAAAATTATACACACCAACCCCAAAGTTTATTCTTTGCAGATCACCAGTAGACTCCCACCCTGCAGACACACACCTGACTTGACCCACACAGACTAGCTATACTGTACAGACACACAAACACAGATTACACACACATGCATGCACACAGTCTGTGCACACCCACACTGATTGCACACATACGGACTGCATGCACCCCCACTCATTGCACGTGCACCCCACACTCACATAAGAACTCCACACACCACACTGATTGGCATTGCATAGACCCACATAAATGACACACACCCCCATAGATTGCACACACCTCCCACACACTTACACAAGGATGGTACACAGCCAAATTGATTGCACACAGTCACACACAAAAACTACACATACCCACACTGATTGCACCCATACCTACACACAAGGATTGCACACACATTACACACACACCACACTCACAAGGACTGCACACAGCCCACACAAGGACTGCACACAGCCACACCAATTGCACACACACCCCACACACTCACAAGCTCTGCACACACCCACAGTCATTGCGCACAAACCCCAGACACTCCCAAGGACTGCATACCCACTAACTGCACACCCACAAGGACTGCACACACCCCCACTGATTACACCCCCACATACACACACTCACAAGGACTGCAGGCACACACTGATTGCACAAAAACAACGAGGCGTCCGGTGGCACCTTACAGACTAGCCGATTTATTTGGGGATAAGCTTTCGCGGGTAAAAAAACCCACTTCTTCGGATGCATGGAGTGCAAACTACAGATGCAGGCACTAGTCTACAGGAAGAGAAGGGAGTTACCTTAAGAGTGGAGAACTAGTGTTGACAAGGCCAATTCAATCAGCGCGGATGGCACACTCACAGGGCCTACACCCACCCACACTGATTACACACACTCACAAGGACTCCACACACCCTCCCCATTGCGCAGCCTTTCAGCTGGCTGGGGATCAGGCTGGGCAGCGGCTCTCCTCGCCGTCGCTCCCCGCCCTGCACCCAGGCCCCGGGGCCGCAGGCAGCCACGCCAGGACACGTGCCCTGGGGGCTGGGCCCCTGATCTGCTCGCTCCGGGTGGGAACCAAACTCCCCAGGGCGGCGGCGTGCAGGGAGCGAAGGGTTAAGCCCGCAGCCCTCCCCTTCCCAGAGCACATGGTGCCACCATCAGGGGGCTGGAATAGCGCAGGGACCTTCCTGTCCAGCCCCCCGCAGCTCCTCCTGCCCCGGCGGGTCTGCTCCGGAGCCGGACTCCTCCTGTTGCGCTGGGCGCGTCCCCGTCCGCAGCCCCCTGGATCGCCCCGGCCGGGCGGTGAGCGCGGGCGCCGGGGGGGACGCAGCCAGAGGCGGCCGCGGGGAGGGAAAGGGCAGCGGCGGCCAATCGCTGCTCGGAGGAAGCGGCCGCAGGGACAAGGGGATGGGAGCCAAAGTGGGGCTGGGAACGGAGAGATTCCCCCCCCGCCCCCCAGCAGCACGTGGGGGGCGGGGGTGGTCTGTGCAGCTGAGCCCCCAGGTCCCCCCCGCCCCCCAACCCAGGGCTGCCTGTGGGGGGGGGGGGGAGTTTTGAAGGGTTTCGTGATAATTTATCAAAGCAGAGCCGTCCCCTCTTTCCCCGCCTGCAGGCAGGATTCCCTGGCCCTGACTCCGGGATGCAGCGAGGGGAAGAGCCGTGTGTCCCGGCTCTCCAGGGCGCCGAGGAAAGGGCGATCCCCCGAGGGGCCTGCGCAGGTGAGGAAGACCCTCCACGAGTTAACAGCAGGCCCTGCTACAGCTGGGGAGGGTGCAGGCCAGAAGGGGCGGAGCTGGAGTCGCACCCCGACGCTGGAGGGCTAGTATCAATGATCCGCAAAGGCGGCGGGGGGGAGAGCCGGGAGGTGGCAAAAGTGGCATCCAATTATTTAGGGTGCTGTGGCGATTCGTAATCTGCCCTCTAGTGTATCCCAGGCCGGCGGTGCCACCCACCACCTGCACATGAAGCCCAGCAAGGGACTTTAACCAAAGTATCACAGCCCACCGGAGGCTCAGCCATGAGATGCCACAGGCAGGGAATAGAATCATGGAATATCGTGGTTGGAATATCATCTAGTCCAACCCCCTGCTCAAAGCAGGGCCAATCCCCAATTTTTGCTCCAGATCCCTGTATGTCCCCCTCCAAGGATTGAGTCACAACACTGGGTTTAGCAGGCCAATGCTCAAACCACTGAGCTGTCCCTCCCTGCAAGGGACCAAGGCACACCAGTGCCTGAGGCCCCCCCACAGTGGAAGGGAAACGATTAAGTGAGAGATCCCCAGATGATCCTAGCAAGTGATCCACACCCACACGCTGCGAAACTAAGAGGAAGATGTAAAAAACCCAAGGTCTCTGCCAGTCTAACCTGGGGAAGAAATTTGTTCCTCACCCCATATATGGCGATTAGTTAGACCATGGTACCTGGGGGTACGCAGAGGTCTTCTGGGGGGTACATCAACTCACCCAGATATTTGCCTAGTTTTGTAATAGGCTACATAAAAAGCACTAGCGAAGTCAGTACAAACTAAAATGTCATACAGACAATGGCTCTATATTCTATACGCTGAAAAGTAAGTACAATATTTCTATTCCAGTTGATTTATTTCATAATTATATGGTAAAAATGAGAGCCATTTTTCAGTGCTACTGTGGCTGAGACACTTTTATATTTTTATGTCTGATTTTGTAAGCAAGTCGTTTTGAAGGGAGGTGAAACTTGCGGGTACGCAAGACAAATCAGACTCCTGAAAGGGGTCCAGTCGTCTGGGAAGGTTGAGAACCACTGAGTTAGACCCTGAGCATGTGAGCTCGACCCCGCGAGCCGAGCACCAGAGAGTGCTCGGTGCCATCTCAGAGCCCTGTCCCACAGCTTGTGTCCCATCTCCAGCGTTGGCCATCACCAGGGTTTCAGAGGAAGAAGACCAAAAAAAAATCCAGCCTCCCAAAACACGCTTTGGGGGGAAAAGATCCCTCCCTGCCTCTTGCTGCAGGACAACTGAAACCCTGAAGTAATAGTTTTTAGGAACATCAGACATAAACCAGAAATGAGCCCCGCCCTCCCACATCACCTTTGCACTCAAATTTGTCCAGTTCTCTTAAAATTAATCGTTATTTCCCCCCACACACACACACACACACACACACTCACTCCCCATTGAGAGGCTGTTCCAGAACCTCACCTCTCTGGTGGTTCGAAACCTTCTAATTTCCAGCCTGAATTTGTTCTGCCCTGTCTCGCTCAGTACCCAACACTCACAGATCCCAAGGCCGGAAGCGTGTGATTTATCTCGTCTCGCCAGCTGTTGAACTTCCCCAGAATAATTGCTTTAGAACTAGAGCAAATCTTTTCAGAACGAATCCTATCTTGATTTAAAACTTGCCAAAGATGGAGAATCCATCTTGACTCTTGCCAAGTTGTTTTGATGGTTAATTCCCCTCAGGATTAAACATTTACACCATATTTCCAGTCTGAATTTGTCTAGCCTTAACTTCCGGCCTTTGTATTTTGTTAGTCCTTCATCTTCTAGATCGAAGAGCCCATTATCAAATTCCCCTCCCCAAGCTTTCCTCTGAGGGCTCAGCTGGATTGTTGGAGCAAAGCCACTTCCCCTCTGGGGAAGGGTTTGGGGAAATTCACCTCCTACCCATCAGATTTGCCACTCATTCTCTCCCTAGCACAGTCAACGAGCCCTGGCTGGATTCTCCCTCTCTCCCAGCAGGTGCCAGGATGGAGGTGAAGAGTCCCAAGAAGGAAGGGCCTACGGGAGCAGAGCCACACTGGATGTCCCAGAGCATTAAGCAAGAAGAGGCCAGCGGGGCTGGATGGCCGGAGGAGATCAACGTGATGTCTCCAGAGGAGATCGGCATCAGGATGATGATGGAGCACAACCGAGCCCAGCTGGGGGAGAGCCCTTACAGCTGCTCGGACTGCGAGAAAAGCTTCAGCCAGAGCTCCCACCTGGTCCAGCACCAGCGCATCCACACAGGCCAGAAGCCCTACAAGTGCACCGAGTGCGGGAAGAGCTTTGTTCTCAGCTCCAACCTCCTGGAACACCAGCGCATCCACACCGGGGAGCGCCCCTACAAGTGCGACCAGTGCGAGAAGACCTTCAGCCAGAGTTCCCACCTCTTCCAGCACCAGCGCATCCACACGGGCGAGCGGCCCTACCAGTGCACCGAGTGTGGGAAGAGCTTCAACCGCAACTACACCCTGGTGAAGCATTACCACACCCACGTCGGGGAGCAGCCCTTCATCTGCAGCGAGTGCGGGAAGAGCTTCAGCCTGGGATCCTTCGCCCAGCATGTCCGCACGCACACGGGTGAAAAGCCCTACACCTGTGCTG